TTTCAGGATAGCCTAGAAACTGATGACAATGCAATCTTTTGTGAAAAAATTAATTTTAAGAATATTTTTTAAAAAGAATAAAATAATTATAGTAGATTAAAAAATTAATCTAAAAAATCACGTTTTCAAAAAGCAAAAAATAACCTTAAACGTGGTGTGCATCTATTTCATTTGTATTTCACTTCTTCCCAACAATCTCCATGCGCACCACGTTTAAGGTTATTTTTTGCTTTTTGAAAACGTGGTTTTTTAGATTTAATTTTTTAATCTACTATAATTATTTATTTATAATATTGCCTGAATTTTGTTGTAGATGAAAGAGTTGACCTGTAAAATTTTCTTAATTGAAGGGATACAGTATTTACTCCAGCGCTTCATTCAAGAAAGGTTCCTGGTTTTAAAATGCAAATTTAATTAAAAAAAAAAACAGACTGCTCCTCATGTAGCAAACTCTCGTTTCCTAAAAAATGTGTCCAGAGTAGGGAACTGCCCGAAATCATCCATCATCCACAAAAACTGAACAGTATATTCATAGTTTTTAGGAAAATTGTTCTTTGTCCAGTATGAAGATTTTTAATGCCTTCAGTTTTTGAAGGCATTAAATGTTAATGCTGTACAGTTTTTGTTTTGAATGATTATGTAGCAGCTATATTTCATGTGAGATATACCTGTGAAACTATATTTAATGTACTGTATATCCAGAATCTATGCCTAAATTGTCTGTACGTGTATTCTAGTTGGACGTGAATGTAGCTTTTTTTAAAGTTACCTTGTTTGAAAAACATTCAAAATCTAGTTAACGCAGCATGAGCTGCATTTTTTTTAAACAGCCTGACGTATTGTTTCATACGGCTAATCAAAGTCTGATTAACAATTGGAGTTGCTCTTGAATATGTCACATCATGGTGGATTCTCACTTCTGAAAATTTCAAGTAACACTCGGTCCGCTGACTTCAGCCAAGAGAATTCAAATTGAATACATCCCTGTAGTATGATTTTGTGAATTATCGAATATTGCGAGGAATTTTTTGAGTCCCGAACTGAAGAAGAAAAAAGAGAGAAATTATCCTGAGCACTTATGCAAATAAAATACGGTACGATGAACTCAAGTATAATTCCGCCTGGTTTAGTATTGCACACAGTAATCCCTATTGGAGTTCAAGGGAAAATTCAGACACTAGACTGTAGAAGTGACCCAGATGGATTTTCGATTTTATCATGAGAAAAGTGACTCTTGAAGAAAACTTAGTGACCTGTGATCGTAAATGTAGATACTTGCATGCGTGCATTGCTAATCTCTTCTAAGATTCAAATTGGATTTTGAATTGGGCCTAAGTTTTGAAACCTCGATAAAATTGAATTTACCTGTACATTATACTGTAGAAGAGTCGATGCATTGACCTTCATTCTCTTCATTATCGGTTGGTTAACGTCCTGGTGGTGAAACAGTACAGTATTTCGCGTGCGGTATTATATACCGCATCGCAAGTTCAGTGACACCTGCATCCTGTTCTGTTCGAGCGTGATGGCGTTCTATTCGTCTGGTGTTGCATGCTTTTCCAGCATGAACCATGCTTCCCTTAGTGAACAACTGAAGGAATATTGAATGTAGATGAGGCATGCTCGCTGAATTTGAAATTTTCATTTCTTCAATCAAGTGTAATTAGCTGTAGTGTTCGACCTGGGTACAGTATTTAGTTGTGCGATGGAGGCCTCTTCAGCGGATTGAGTTTTCCTGTTGGAGGGGAGAATAGGTTATACTTTTACGCCGGTCATCAACCTTGCGCTTAAGGTCGGTGCCCATGGCGTCTCATTGGTCTAACTACCATCCTGTGCCGTTGTCCTTGAGAATCTTTGAGGGGAAGCTCAACGGTATTTCTGTGCTGGCGGCCATTGCGTGGAGTCCGGGAATCGCTGGTTCACCATTTTCCCGTCCGTTTCCGCGTAGTGAACATCAGTCATAATTCCTGAGAATTCGTTAATATCTGCATTGGCGCGGTGAATCAATCTTCGTGTCCTCAGATCGGTCGTAATGCAGTTCACAAGTACGTGGGGAAGGAGCCGTCGGGGAGAATGTTCAATAGTTTGACGCTCGATTATGATAATAAGCCGCACAACCCGATGATCAATTCCGGCGCTATAGTGGTGTGTGGAATTCTCTTGTCGCTGGTTCGCCCAGACATGGATTTGGCCACCAAATTTGAATATGTATCTCATTATCTGAAGGTGATTTGCATTTTCATGACTTTTGGTGGGCGTAATTGCTTTGAGTGCTGTAGTTTTTTTTTCGCGAAAATTGGTGATGTTCCCATTGCTGCTTGTATTTGTTTTCGCTTACTATTGGCCGCTTTTTCGCAGGTTTAGGTGGCAAAGAATAATGTCGAACAGCAATTCAGTGTATCAACCGACAACTGTGTCGTACGAAAATAATCAGGATGATTTTGAACAAGTTTATGTTCCTACATCTGTGCGTCAGAACCAATCCCGGCGATTACTTCCCACTGCACTCCTTGTTGGCGCAGTGATCTTCGGGATTTTAGCTTTGAGCTTCATCGTCATCGGTTCCAGTGCAAGTAAATCGCATCCTGTTCTAGAAGAAATTTCAACGGAATCCACGACCTTTGCATCGAATATGACGAGCCAGAGTCCCGATTCGGAGCACCCCGCTACGGATGCCACTCCAGAGGAAATTAGTCCTCTGCCGGATATGAAGGATTCTTCTTGGTCTGACGTGCTCGTCGGAGTCGGTATATCCTTACTTTTAATTGCCTTATTGATGGTCATCTGCGCGTTGTGGATCCGGGGATATCTTTCGAACTGCGCTATTCGTAAAGGACAAACCTACGCGCAGCAGTTGAGTAGAGGCGTGGTGCCTCAACCCGAGAGTCGTCATTAATTCTCACGAGGAGTGCAGAATCTGGGCATTTCTGTGGTTTGGACACGAAGGAAGTTCCTCGATGGTACGCTGTGTCGTATGTATTCATCGGCCTAGCTTTGGTGCTACTTGAGGATGGGAATCTCACGTAAGACGCACGGTGTTGACTTAGATTTTCCATGAGGTAGTCTATGACGGAGGTTTTCTTTCTCGGTTGGAACTTCTACGGATATTTACCCTGGGCTTGGTTCTGTAACGCGAATTATTTCGAGAATGAGGCCAGTCCTCATGCGCAAAATGACGTTCGTCGACTCATCGATTGTGTCTTCCAGAAATTCATCTCAACGAGTAAAATTTGTATTTGTGTGCAACGGCGACTTCAAGTCAACATGTGCGTCGATCGAACATATCTGTCCATTCTTATAGCTATCCCACAGTTCTTGTAGAATAATCTCCCGTATCGGTAGGTAATTGTGACATGCGACTGATGGCACTTGTACACGAGATGTGATTGATGTAATGCAGTAGTTTCTGAGGGGTAGCTGGAAAAATAAGACTGCCAAATTTCGTTTTCCCCATCTTTGCTGTGTGTTAATTTCCAGCATCGAATGAAATATCGGATCTGGAGAAATTTGTCGAGATCTTCCGAGATTTTTTTTTGAAAAAGACTGTGATGCCTTGGGAGGGCCTGTACTCGGAAAGGGAACAGTTGAATTCCGGTTGTGTGGTTGACCGTGACCAAGTTGAGAGGGAAAGTGATCCTGGGAAGACAGATCGAGTTGATAAATTGCGTTGAAACCATTCCTCGTCTCATATTTTCACTGTGAATTGATCTTCGCTGTCATGTTGCTTGTTCGCTAGAATGCATAGTCCTATTGAGTCTTGGTGGATGTTCTGTTTCTCCCCCTCTTGATTTCAGGCTCTTGCTGGAAATGAGTTTATCGGTTTCAACAACTCTGTGTTCCTTTCGGAACGTGCGAGTGGGAATCGGAACTATGCAATCGCGCACTATCTTACGGAGAATCGTTGCTTGCCCGACTCCGTGGGCGTTACTGCAGTCCTTGATTTCTACTTCCAAATGTGCTCATTCGAGGCTACTTGCGAGTCATTGTCCGTGATAGCTGCCACTTTCGCAAATGGCGGAATTTCACCTACGACCGGGGAACATGTCTTGAAGGCAGAAGCTGTGCGTGATACCTTGTCGTTGATGCACACATGCGGAATGTACGACTACAGCGGAAAGTTCGCATTCTTCGTGGGGCTACCAGCCAAGAGTGGGGTTTCTGGAGCAATTATGGTTGTTGTGCCAAACATTATGGGCATTGCCACTTTCGCACCTCCGCTAGATCAAGTCGGGAATTCTTGCAAGGGCCTCCAGTTCTGTCGCCGGCTTGTCAGTCGCTACAATATCCATCGGTGAGTCATGTGTTTTGATGACTGGGTCCATGAAAAGAGTTCCTGTTGGTTTTTGTTTCAAAGTTTCCGTAGTTTTACAGTTTTATACCGCAGTTCAGGTGAAGATGAGGAAGTAGGTGTGGTTTTGAGTCGGAAGAGTTACAGTACTGCATTAAATTTCGAATTTTTCCTTGCTTCTTGGAAGAGTTTCCTTCAATTTTCGAATCTGAGCCAGCATGACCAATTCAACATATTTTAATCTAAGTAAATTCGAATCTGAATTTAACTGGCATAATTGAATTCTGGCGGAAGTTGGCAAGGTTTTTCCGTGCTGAAGGAAAAACGCTTGTGGTTAAGGTTAGTTATTCTTTATTTTTTCAGGTTTGATGCCATGATGAGAGCTACCCAAGCAACTACATCCATAAAGGACCTGACGAGGTGTCGTCATGATGTTGTTGCAAACAAATTGGTTCACCTTTTATTCGCTGCCCACACTGGGGATTTGTCGGCTTTCAAGCGTCATAAACTGTCCCAGTCTGATGTTGATCTCCGCGATTATGACGGACGGACGCCGTTGCATATTGCTGCTACGGAGGGACACTCTCATATCGTGAAGTACCTTCTTGCTCACAATGCCAATGTTGGGATACGTGATCGGTGAGAGGCATACAATGATATAATTATAGCTTTTATGCAGTCAACCTTCGTCCTGGATGAAAATTGTTCCAAAAACTAAAAGGAAAGCATGCACAGTGGGTAGAGATATCTCTGTGTTATTACTGATATTCATACGCCCATGCTCAGATTGAAATTCGGCATAATTTTGAAGATGAAGTGGGAGCTTTCCTGAAAACCTCGATATTCCCTGCCAGATGGCATCATGTTTAACTCTCAAAGAAAACTTCGAGAAGTCACTCCGCCCTTTTTCTGGACACGATATATGTAACACTGTGTAAAGTGTGTATGCTATCTCATTAAATACTGTGAATTAAAAGTAACTGTAAAACAGTGTTCGCGAGCTTCAACTATTTAAGATTTCTGAACCTGAATTAGTGGCCTAACCAATCTGTTGAAAAGCTCATTTTACCTACATTTGAATTTTGAAACCGTCAACTGAACGTTCCTGACTGACAATAACCTTGTTTCGCGACAACAAATTTCAAGTACAATTGAAAGCTCTAAATAGAGGTTTGACTAAAGTTTTTCCAGCGTATCACCTGCAAGATTTTCTGTATCAATCGTCATCCATCGCTCATCGAGCTTATTTATCTCCAGATGGAATCGGACTCCTCTCGATGATGCGATCCTCAACGGGCACGAAAACGTGATAGAAATATTAAAAGACGTTTCTGGTGGATCATAAACCGTGTTGTTTACCTCGAACTGTGTATGGTTGAACAAGTGATGGTGGAATCCTTATCGTTGCGCGATTTAACTGCTTGCTTCAAGTTTTTCCACGCGTGCTAAGGTGTAAAAACTGGGCTCTGGTTCGTCCTCTTGCTTTTATCTTACTCGGAACAGGGTTCTAATTATGTCGCTTGACGAAGTGGTGTCAGATGCGGAGGAAGATTTTCTCGCGCGTGTTTCTGCCGATGTCGCTGCTTTTGTGCAAGGCAATGAGCGTAGCAGGTACGTGTTTAATGATCATACGATAGTTATAATTTACGTTTTAAAATTCGATTTTGGGTTTATTGCAGGGTTTTAGTATTTCGCGCCTTCAACAGTCGCCTTCGTTACCTCGCACACCGATGTTTGGCGGAGAAATTCGACGGCATTGTGACCCGTTCGTTCGGACGGGATCCGGACCGGATATTATGTGTTTGTTACGCCGACAAGTGCGTTACTACGGTTCGGAACGATTTTGCTTACTCGATGGTTCTACAGTTCCTTGGTTTGCAGGTTGGAAGAAGGCAGCTTAGCAAGCCGATCACGTATCGCCATGGGTGAGGGTTTCTGCTGTTCTTGTGTTATCTCCTCGTTATTTATATTTTTTGGGCGTCTTGACAATGTCCGTTATCGTGTGCCAACAGGTCTTGCCAAGTTACCGAAAGACGCGTCGAACTCCGTGGAGAATACCGCAGCCCCTCAGCCTAATGATTCCCCTTCGTCAAGGTGACTTGATTTTTTTATTATTTTGTCGTGATAAAGTGGGGCCCCGACGTACGAACGATTTGTCTTCGGGTTGCCTGAAAAATGCCTCCACAGAACTGCATGCCCGTATCCTGAGACAGTGTCCGGGCACCGGCAAAACTGAATTTTTTATACTGCAGTTTTGATGTCTGTTAGAAATTGAACTATTCGTATTCACAATATTTTACTGTATTTAAAAATGAATTTTATTCTTATTTATTATGTATATATTACTTCTAATTCATGATTGATTTCAAACACTGATTCAAAAGACTGTTTTTGTTCCATGATTTTTTCTCGAGTTACGGAATCTTCGGAAAAATTTCTGGACAATTTTATTTTTTTGTATTGATATCTCGAGAAAATTTAGCTAATTATCTTCGCGAAAATGTATGATTAATTTACTCGAATTTATTATTAAGAACATGCTAATTTTGTGCTCCTATTTTAAGAGTTTCTCCATCATCTGAGCAAACTAAAGGTAGGCTTGTGCTTGTTCATTGTGTTTTGGGCTCCTTTTCATGGCAGAAGAGTAGACTCCGCGTGGTTTTCTTCTGCAGTTTTTTTTTCCTGTTGCTTGAAGTTGAGGGAAACAATTTCTGGGGCTGCTTTCCAATTTTTTCGTGAACAGGAAAACGAAAAAAAAAGAGTTCCCAATAAAGTCTATGGGGGAGCGTGATCCAACATGTGGATCTCTGGACATGTCCAGCTACCAATTACTTCCGCATCTCGGGTCCCCCACTGTAATGACAGTCACCAAATTTGTTGTCAAGAGAGTAGTCCCACGAAGTGGACGCTGATGCTCATCAGCTTTATTTCTTCTAGTAACCGATCTCGCCGCCCGGACAAGAACGTTTATATACCTCGGAGACGACTGGAAATGATGTCAAAGCAGACCGACGAAATCGCGAATACCCTCCAAACGCTTTGCTTAGAACCCAGTCGAGACGTTGAAAACATTTTCTGCGGAGACGACTTGCCTGGAACGCATTCCTCGGACGAAAACATATCATCGGACGTTGTAGAAGAATTGCAGGAGATGTTGGGAGTCGTGGAGGTTGTATTAGCCAAGGAAGATTACTCGCAATTTGAGAATGTTCTGCGCCCCACGGAGTACGAACACGTGTTGGAAATTTACGACTTTCCGGCGGAGTACCGAGAACGTGACTTGATAAAGTTGTTTTCGGAGTATAGAGAAGCTAGTGGATTCGAAATCAAATGGGTCTCTGACACTTCCGTTTTAGGCATTTTTAGTTCAGTGGAGGCCGGTAAGATTTTCACTTCATTTCCTCTTCGCTATTGGATTCCGAACGCATCTTACTTTTTATTTCCAGCTGAAAAAGCATTACAGGCAGGGAGTGGTGTATGTAAACTTCGCTCCTTGTCGGAAGGGTCCAAAGCTGCACTTCTCAAAGCGAGACGCGTCCAGTGTGGGCTGATCGTGAGTACAGTATACATGTTTCTCAAACTTACCGTACCACGGACCAAATTCGAAGAGTAACCAAAAATGTTGTAATTTGGAAATTATGCAATTTTTCCGCAAGATTTGGACGCATTCCTGTATTGCTGTTGGGTACGAATCGTAATTTTTGATGGTGCGATCTCAGTTACGTAGTTCGTGATTTTCTAGACGCTGAAGTAGTATACCAGATCGAATAGTCCTCACCTCTCGATACAACCTTGGGTGTTGATCGAGTGACCTTCGTTCAATTTCACAGAACTTCCGAAGCATTGAATTTGCCCTCATAGCCTACATCTTTTAAAATTTCGTATTGTATTGGATCTTGGAATTTACCTGACAGTTGTACCTTCTAACGCCGGCGCTCTAACCTTGAAGTTGTCACACTTCCCACCTGTGTGACCGAATTTCTTCCGCCTTTCTTTTTCAGCCAGCTTTGAAGCGACCACAGACGAATTCTTCATTTGCCCGACGAATGATCGGACATGCATTAGGGCAGAAAATATCTGTGGCTAGTGACAAAATGAAAGCTGAACGGCAACAGTTGGATGACGCGAAAGGTGAGTCTTTCTTCCGAACGAAGTTTTCGTTTTTCTGGTTTCAATTTTCCTGATTTACTACGTGAGAACGTCCGCATGTTCGCTCACATTTTTCCCTGTACTTTAACGAGAACATACTTCATTGGTTCTCCTATTGGTCAAACAATCTTGGAGTCCCCCAGAAATTTGAATACATGTTTTTCAACACTAGATACAGGAAGTAACTGTCTACAAGAAAACCAAAGGGAATCTGATCTTCTGGCATGGAAATCAGCCCAAAAAGCCAAAGCAAAAAATGTAAAAAAAAAAAAAACCCTGAAGAGAATAATACGAAAGTATCCTTTTTTGGACTATCGACTAACCGAGTAAATCGAATTCATCACGATATCACTCATTCAGTTATGAGTGAACTTGATTCGGATACTTCGTGTGTTGGGGCCCCAATGTAGCTAAATTATAAAAAAAAATTGTTTTGTCCACAGAGAAAAAACGCGCTCTTCGTCGCAGTAACGCTGAGCAGACGGAAACCTGACACCTGAAGTAGTGTCGGCATCGGTGGATTTATGCGCTCTCTTGAATGATGTAGACAAGTTACCTAGTCCTGTTATTCCCCTTTCTTTTGGAGTACGGTGTTAATCTTTATTTGTCATTTCATGCCTCTCTTTGCCCGAGGGATTGATCTCCATACTCCGCAATCGAGTGACCACCTTGACATCCGCTTGTGTTTTTATTTTGGATTCATCCGTACGGGTTGTTCGTGAGTGACGTTTCTCCGAAGGTTTTTTGCACTCTTTATATCGTTGGACATGATTGGGATTAAACGTGATGGTTGTTGTGTCTCAGGATTTTTGCTGTCAACCGAGTGTCGTCTATTATCAGGTTCAAATGTTATCTTTCATTTCTTCAGGATATCCGAGACTTCTTGCGTATTTATTTTTCGCTCGCTCGACTCTTCTCAAGTTTAACGCGTGTTTGACATGGAAGCTCAGAACGGAGTCTCTGCCAACGGTGACACAATGGAGCACTCTGGAAATGATGCCGCTTCTGAAACCCGGGATGACGACAGGAAAATATTTATTGGTAAGTAGCTGATTTCGGCGTTTGCTACATTGAGCAGATATTTTTACATCGTCAAGTTCTTGAGAATTCAATGCGGAATTCAACACAAGTCATGCCCAAGGATTTTGTCCTCCGAATACTGTGTTTTCATGTGCTAATCGTTGCAGGGTTTACGATTGTTCTGCAAATTCTGACTGTGTGTACAGTATTTTGAAACCTGTTTATCAAAAAAACTAATGTTTTCCTTCCGCCGGAAAATATTTCTCTCGTTTCGTGTCTGTTGAAACGAAAACTTGTCTCTGTGAGGAATGTAGATTTATTTTGAATATTCTTAAATTTTCACAAACTAGGTGGATTGAGCTGGGAGACGACCGAAGACAATCTGAAGGATTTTTTCTCGAAGCACGGCGAAATTGAGAACGTCAACTTGAAGACAGACCCGAACACTGGCCGATCTCGTGGGTTTGCATTCGTTGTTTTCAAGGCCGTAGATTCCGTGGAGAATGTCTTGAATGCTGGAGACTTGACAATCCAAAACAAGAAAGTCGAGGCCAAGCGCGCTAAAGCACGTCAGGGAAAGGTATTCGTTGGAGGCTTGCCCGCGGAATTGTCCGAGGATGAAATCAAGGCACACTTCGGTAGCTTCGGCAAGATTGCACAGATGGAAATGCCATTTGACAAGGTAAGTTTTTAAGGGTTGGTTTTGTCGCGACTGTTGAACGATATGGCTTCTTCATCTCGAAGGACTGCGTAGATTTTTACATTTATTTTCCGAAACAAGGTAAATTCAGTCATACAGCATAACTGCCATGATATTCTGAGTATACAGTACTGTATTTTTAATTGTCAGAAATCGTGGTAAAAACTGTATCCGCTGGAGAAAGAAGTTAACTTAATTGCCGAAATTTCAAACAAAAATTTTGCAAGTCATGGAATATTTAGAGTATTTTTGCTTGTACTGTATTATAATTTGGTGATGGTATTTGAGTTTCTAAGAAAAAGCTCTTCCTTCGTTCTTCGTAGCAATTTTTGTTTTCGCGCTTGTCAGCATCGTAATACTGTACACATAATTGATGTGAGGCTACTTTTGACGTTTACGTAAAGGTCATACATCAAGATTCGATAATTCGTTTCAGGTCCGCAACCAGAGAAAAGGCTTCTGCTTCATCACATTTGAAAACGAGAGCGCGATGAAGGAGCTGCTCCGTAACCCGAAGCAGACTCTTGGGGGCAAAGAAGTAGATGTGAAGAAGGCAACTCCTCGCAATGACCAGATGGGATTCGGCGGAGGTCCTGGCTTTATGCGCGGTGGACCTCGTGGGGCTCCGCGTGGCGGTATGATGCGAGGACTCTTGGGGGCAAAGAAGTAGATGTGAAGAAGGCAACTCCTCGCAATGACCAGATGGGATTCGGCGGAGGTCCTGGCTTTATGCGCGGTGGACCTCGTGGGGCTCCGCGTGGTGGTATGATGCGAGGTGGCGGTCGCGGTGCACCGCGAGGTGCCCCACGAGGCGGCGGTTGGGGTGGAGCAGCCGGTAACGGCGGCGGATGGGGCGGACAGCAATGGAACCAAGGGTATGGCGACGGTTACAGTGATGGTGGTTACGGCGGATATGATAGTGGAAATGGCAACTACGGAGGGTGAGTCGGCATTT